AGAATGCCAATGAACTTTAATAATTAATAGCTATCAAGAACACCTAGTACTAAATGACAAGCCATCCTAAAAATAGTTCAGATCTGCTGGGAACATTAAAAAAAAACAATAATCAGACAAACTAGCAATTAGAGAGATTTAATGTTCACGAAAAGGTTATGCAAATTCCCCAGGTTGCTAAGTGTTAAGGAGTACAGAAGAAGGAACAAAGTCTGTCTATATAAAATTTTTAAAAGACAGCATGCCTCTACTATTCTCTGCTGAGGAATCTGTTCCATTCTAGTTTAAGAGATAGCAAACAAACAAAAAAACATTCATAAAATCTGGCTGTATTCTAAATTGATTGTTGCGGACAGTGCTGTTGAAAGAAAAGTATGGATTCAAATTACTTGGAATCATCAAAAAGCCTTTAAGGGAACCATTTGTGTTGCTGTGGTTAACTACCTTCCAGTTGACTTCAACTGTGTTCAGTTCTGGGCATCACAATTCAAAAAGGATGTTGAGAAGCTGGAGTGTGTCCAGAGAAGGATGACCAAAAAGGCAAAGGGTCTGGAAACCATAAAGCCCTATGAGGAGACACTTAGGGAGCTGGGTATGTTTAGCCAGGAAAAGAGACGGTTAAAAGGTGATATGATATGAACCCATTTATTTGTCTTCTTGGCTGTCCATGGTATCCTCAGCACTCTTCTCCAATATCATATTCAAATGAGCAAGGGAACCATAGACATTAAAAATCCTGCAGGATTAGATCTAAAGTCCACCTGGTTTAGAGCTCTACCTTCTTGCAGCGTCTGTCATGACCAAGAGGCACTGATAAGTTTCCTCTCTAGGGAATTTGGAAGACACATTTATCCTTCTCCACATAAACAAGAAGCTGCAATTTATCCTACTGATTGGTCACTCCATTTCTCCACATTTCACAAGGTACTTTTGTGTTATTTTGATAAGTGGTGTTCTTGATCAGTCTTTTGCAACCTGGTCCCCTTCATATGTTTTGAATGACAATGCCCATCATTTCTTACCATTGCTCACGATGGCTGGGCTAAGAGGTGTAATCCAAATCATCAGGAATGCATCAGATTGGACAAAGTTGATTTCACCACCAGTGACTTTTCACACATTGAGAAAAACCTACTGTTGGATTCAGTTCAGTCTCTGATTTGTTCATATTTTCCAAGGCTTAATCATCAGTCACATAAAATAGAAAACAGAAGCTCTTGGCTCATGTTTCTCCCTTCCTGTGCCTATGTCAATGATATCAAGGTTGTCATTTCTGAAAGGTGGAGTTCTCAGTTCTGTAAAGAAACACTATGACCAGTAGATGAGCTACAATGACCAGAATGAGGTGTGTGCCTAAACCACAGGGTACTCATTTGAGGGTAACAACGCTGAGAAAATCCTTCACAACTTGTATGAATAAGCTCTCACTACCTGCAACATTAAAGAACAACAAATCACCATATACAAGAGTGACCACAAGCCTTATCATTGCTAACATCACTTTTTCTAAAGCTTGACTTATTTGTACATCCTGTTGGAAGAAGGTCTTAATCAGGAGTAGGCAACCTGTCCCCTTTAAGGGCCAAGGGACTTCAGCTCCCAGAATCCCAGGAGCTATTGGCCAACATGGGACTATTGGCCAACATGGCTGAGGCTTCTGGGAGCTGAAGTCCCTTGGCCCTTAAAGGGGACAGGTTGCCTACCCCTGGTCTTAATAAACATTTGTACAGGATGCTATCACACATCTTCTGAAAGAAGGAAGGCTGAAGTGAAAGCTACCACAATCTACAGGTCCATGCCTTTTGAGGACCAAATAAATAAATCTGTATATGATGGACTCTATTCATATTCTGTCCATCAAGTCTACTTAACCCAAACGTACACTGTATATATGACAGACAATAATGAAAACCATGTTGGCTTTCAATTCCTTCTTTAAGAACAGTATGCTCTTGCTGAACATCAGGGGTTCCCAACCTTGGGTGCTCACATCAAGAGGGGGTATGAGATGGAATTTCATGTGGTGCTACAGAGAGTGGCTTGTGTCATTGGAGTCAGGAGTCATTTTTTTCTGAATAAATTAGAATTTAATTGCTCAAATTAGATTTGCATTTTATGCACTGAGTGAAAAGCTTATTTTTTAAACTTCAATTTATTCAACCATGGTTCAGTTTGTGGCTCCCAATTAGAAATTAGACTTCTTCCTCATCAAATGTGATATACTTTTATAGGGGGTGTGAACATTAATCAAATATTTCCCAGGCATGTAGAGCACAGAAAAGGTTGGGAACCTTTGCTGTACATGAAACACTAGAGGTTCAAGAGAAACTCTGAGTTCGAAGCATTCTTGCCACATTCTGCCTTGTTTTAGGGGTGAGAAGATGTGCCACTCCTTAAGGCTACATGAAGAGTAATTCTCCTTTAAACAACAAAACCCAAACATTTTCTGATGGCAGAAATGGTGAGGTGGTCTGGGTGCTTCAAAAATAGGAGTGAGACCAGACACGGCCCTCTGGCCATGTGCTGCCCACCCCTGGGATAGAGGAAGATAGGCACTGCTAGCAGGTGTATAAACAGTCCAGCAGGCAGGGCAGCTTTACCAGAGATGACAAAAGCAAGGGACAGAGCTGAACAGAGCTTGGTAGATGAAGAGAATGCTCTGGATGTACCATATCTTGATTTCAGTAAGGCCTTTGACAATGTTCTCCAAGATAGTCTTGTAAACAAGCTAGTAAAATACGCCCCACACAATGCAACTTTTAGGTAGATTTGTAATTGGTTGACCAACCAAAGGGTGCTCACCAATGGCTCCCCTTCATCCTGGAGAGAAGTGACCAGTGGGGTGCCACAGGGTTCTGTCCTGGACCCAATTCTAATCAACATCTTTATCAATGATTTGGATGATGCAATAGAGGGCATGCTTATCAAATTTGCAGATGACACCTAATCAGGCAGTAGCTAATACCCCAGAGGACAGGATTAGAATTGAAAATGACTTTAACAGATTAGTTAGCTTGGCCAAAACTAACAAAATAAATTTCAACAGGCAGAAACATAAGGTGCTACACTTAGTCAGAAAAAAATGAAATGCACAGATACAGGATTGCTGACACATGGCTTGGCAAGACTACATGTGAAAGGGATCTAGAAGTCTTAGCAGACCACAAGCTGAACATGACTGAACAGTGATACAGCAGCTAAAACAGCCAACGCAATTCTAGGTTGTATCAATAGGAGTATAGATAGATGGAAGTAATAGCACCACTCTATTCTGCTTTGGTCAGTCCTCAAGAGGATATTGTGCCAAGTTCTGGCCACCACAATTCAAGTAGGATATGGACATGCTGCAACATGTCCAGAGGGTGACCAAAACAGTGAAAGGTCTGGAAGCCATGAGGAGTGGCTTAGGGAGCTGGGTATGTTTAGCCTGGAGAAGAGAAGGTTAAGAGGTGACATGATAGCCATTTTAAAATAATTGAAGGAATGCTGTATTGAGGATGAAGCAAGCTTCTTTTCTGCTGCTCCAGAGACTAGGACACAGAACAATGGATGCAAACTACAGGAAAAGAGATTCCACCTAAACATTAGGAGGAATGCCCTGACAGTAAGAGCTGCTCGACAGTGGAACACACTCCTTCGAAGAGTTGTGGAATCTCCTTCTTTGGAGGTCTTTAAACAGAGGCTGGATGGCCATCTGTCCAGGGTGCTTTGATTGTGAGTTCCTGCATGGCAGGGGTTGGACTGGATGGCCCTTGTGGTCTCTTCTAACTCTATGATTCTATCTCTTCAAACTCTAAGATTGTATTATTCTAGTTCATGAGCAGAGTGCCTACCAGGACCAGTGCCACAGATCTATCCACAGATCTCTGATTATGCAACAGTATGGTTTAGGACCTTCTGTGCCAATTCGGTCACAGCAACAGCAGCGCCTTGCTTATCTATGTTACACATTCATTCCAGGCAAACAGTACTATGCCAGCAATTGTGTTTGTGCTATTTAAGCTGTACTTCTGAAGGAGGAGCAGATGGTTCTGATCAAATATAAGAATGGGCAGTAATATGTCTTAGGTTACCAAACCGTGTTCTTACCTGCAAGGCTAGACTTTTTTAAGAAAAGAAAAATGGTAATGAAAAGATGAAATGTAAGCATAGGGTACAGAGGAAAGAATTACAAACCACCACAGAGTATCCCTTGAAACTCATGGGGTCACCATAGGTCCACAGGTGACTTGAAGGCTCCCTCTCTCTCTCTCACACACACACACACACACGCACACACAAGCAAATCCCACAAAAATGTGGGGAGAGCAGAAAATACCAGCACTGCCTGGGGCAGGCATTTTTGGCACGAGATCACCTACTACTGTGTAAACAGGGCAAGCTTACATAATTCAACAACAGAGTTCAATGCAGGGCGTGACAAGGCCTGTGAACTGACAACATGTAGGTCTTAGAAGCAAGAAGGACAGGCCCAGATTGTTCAACATGATCCCCAAGGCCAAGTACAGGTGACAAGGAAGCACTCTATCCAATGGTAAGTTTTTAACCCGTTTTATCTGTGAGCCACCTTGTATCCCAATCCAGGATAAAGGTGGCATAATAAACAAATAAATAAATGTCTTCCTGTAGTTTATCTTTGTTACACGCTGCACTCTTACCAAGCTTTCACTCTTTGTGTTGCACAGACTCTCTCATCATAGCAGGGAACTAGGTGATCCTGCTTTGCTCCCTCTATTGAGAAATGGCTGTCCCAGATTCTCTCACACTCAGAGAAGGCAGAAGGAAGATGATGTCCTAGAAGATACTCTTCCTTCATTCTTATTGTTAAATTGGACAGAACTTTGTTGTTGTGTGCCTTCAAGTTGTTTCCGACTTACAGTGACCATAAGGAAACCCTGTCATTGAGTTTTCTTGGCAAGGTTTGTTCAGAAGGGGCTTTGACTTTCCCTTCCCAAGGATGAGAGTGTGTGACTTGCTCAAAATCACCCAGTGGGTTTCCATGGCTGAATAGGGATTTGAACCCTGATCTCTAGCATTCTGAGCAAACACTCAAACCACTACACCACACTGCCTCTCAACTCAACAACTGTCCAAACTATTTTGTGCAGATTGAAACCACCATGAGATTTTCTGTCATTCACTCTAGGTGAGAACAAGGGGAACTTTAGCCTTCCAAATTGTTTTGCACTTCAGTTATCAAAAACCCTAGCCAGAACAGCCAGTGACATGGGACTGTGGGAGTTATAGTCCAAAAACATCTAGAGGGTTAACAATTCCCGCCTGTGTTTTAGGTTACAACTGTACTCATATCCTCAGCAGTAGATCCGTGTCGTCCTGAATAAAGGTCACAGGTGAGCGGCTACGGGGTTCTGTCTTTGGTTTATAAATTACTTGGATGACAGAATGAAAGCAACACTCATTAAATTTGCAGATGACACCAAACTGGGAGGAGTAGCTAATGCTTAGAAGACAGAAATCAGGATTGAAGATGACTTAACAAATTGGAATGCTGAGCCAAAATTAACAAAATGAATTTCAACAGATTTGGGCAGGAAAAAAGCAGATGAATATATATGCTTATGCACAGCAGGTAAGACTTGGGTTCAAAGCAGTATATGTGAAAAGGAGATAAGCACCTTGGTAGACCATAAGCTTAATATGAATCAACAATGTGAAACAGCAGCAAAACCATTCTAGACTGGATTAACAGATCTAATATAGTATCCCAATTATAGGAAGTAACAGTATCACTCTATTGTTCTTTGGTCAATTTCCCACCTGGAAAACTGTATCCAGTTTAAAGACACAGATGACTAGAATAGTGACTCCCAACTCTGGCCTCCAGGTGTGTTGGACTTTG